CGTTTTAATGTCTGGGTGGAAACTGTCATGTGCTTATTCCTCTCCCATATCATCAGGTTTCTGGCTCCTGCTTTTAAATTATTCCCAGATGTTGTTAGAAATAAAGTGTTTTGCAATGCTGTTGGATTTCCTTAAATCACGAGATCTGTCTCCTGGCTTGTCATACCCCTTGGGAAATTCATGCCTGTAGGCTGAGAATGACTGTGGTGAATGTGCAGTGCAGCTGAAGTTCTCTTACTTATCTTTCATTTGGGGAGGAGGGCAGAGAGGGGGAAATGGGAAGGGCAGAATCATGCTGGTTTTGAGAGAGGTTTGTAATATCAGCAAGTATAAACACCACAAATGAGAGAGTATTTGTAAAAAATGTATTTTTCAATGTCTTTGAGTGTCATCCTTATATTTTCTAGTGTGAGTTTAAGAAATTTTTTTAGGTGATACTGCTGACCTTTTAACAAAATTAACTGTTTCTAGGAGTCACTTGTTTACTGTTTCTAAGAGTATTGTAGTGCTTCTACACAGGCTTCTAATAAGCTGTCTGTAATACACTGTTAGGTTAGGTTTAGCCAAAACTTCTGATTAGAGTCTCCATAGCGCTGAATTATTGGGGAAAAAAGCTGATGTCTCTGATGTAAACAGTTGTCAAAAAGTATTTTAGCATAAAAGACTAAACCCTTGGAAATCTGGGGAATGTGTTAAGTATTTACAGCCTGACCTGGAATATGAGGAAAATAGTTTGCAAAGACTTCTAAATAGTATATTTTTGATTAGCCTGGAAGCATAATAAGACTGTAATGACTTCCTGAAAGTATACAGCTATGTAATAAAACCTGTGATAGCATGAAGCTTTATAGTAGCCTTTTATGTGAGGAAAAATCTGAAATTCTGTAATGTAAATCCAGCTTGTGTAGTGAAGGATTTTGAGTTAGCTGTAACTTAAAACAAGGACCTAGGACATTCATTTGCTGAGCTAGGAGCTTTTTCCTTCTCTTTGATTAATTGATTTTGTAAATTGTAGAAGTGACAGTGTAAGAAATAAGTATTCACGTAGGGAAATTAGCTAAAATATCAAAGAGGTGTCTTTAATTTACACTATGTAAAATAATTTTTGTATATATGATTTTGAATTTTCACTTAAATATGCACTAAAAGTCTGATTTGGTATATTTTTTGTCTTTTTTGAAAGTGGCCCTGCGTGTCAGTTTTACATTAATCCATTGATTGAAGCCATGCGTTAAACATGATGTTTTCCCACCGTGCATGGATATGCTCTCATGGGGTCATGGGGGTGAAGACATGGGCTGAAGTGGAAGGGTGGTATTGACTGTGACAAATTCAGGGTTCGCTTGCTGCAAGATGTTAGCTTGGAAAGTCCCTTGTTTATTTTGTATATTTTGGTAAATGCTGGTTTCATAAAGAAATGGTCTAGATAGCTCTGATCTGAGCACTTAGTTGTTAGTTTTTGTGGAAGATTTATGTAGATTAATTTTCTTGGTATTGGTAGGAATAGAAATATAGCATTGAAGACTTGTGCTGTTGAGGCTTAGATGTCAGAAGATGACATATTAATAGTATAATAGCAGTTTGTACTTCTTATTTTCTTTCTTAATAATCTCCTTGCCTCATGCTAAAATGGATATTCAGTTAGTCTCCACCATGTTGCTGTTACAGTAACTATCCTTTGCAGTTTCTGTGAAATATAATCATTGTGGTGGTTTTTTATTTTTTGGTTATTTTAACTTAGATGAGTATGTTTTTGCCATCTCTGTATTTCTGATATTCAGTACTGTTATACAATCTCAAACTTGCTTTGATTCTTTAGAACACAGCAGTTTGCACAGACAGGGAAAAGAGTTAAGCCAACGTTGCTGTTGGATCTTCCTTCCTTGAGTCTGATTCTGTGTGCTCTTCAAATATCTGAGTTTGGTTTCCTTAGCTCTGAAACACTCAATACAATTACCTAATTTAGTTTAAAAGTTTGTTCCATTCAACTGGCAGAACTTCTGTGATTGAGACAAATTAAATATTTGAGATGCTTGGAAAATTGGTTATGATTTTGAAATTCATGTGTGACATAGCAGGGTGATGAAAAGCTTTGCTCATGGAGCACGGTGTCAGTCCTTTTTGGCTTAGCACCCTCTAAAAGAGTATGCACATAAAACCAAAACCAAGCACCCCAAACCACAAATTGAATCCACCCTTATCTCTGCTGAATAAATGTAAGTAAAATATTTATGTCTATGTAATTCGGGAGGGATTGCGTTACACAGTAGTGCCAGTCCAAGAGCACACATTGGCTTACTTTAGATGCTTATATGAAATTGCTTTGCTAGCCAACCAAGATCTTCAGACAACCCTTTTGAAGTAAATCACAATAACCAGGCAGGTACTGCTTTTGATTTCGTAATTTACCACTCTATATCCAAGTCCATCATGTCTTTTGCTGCAGAGCTGATTTTAAATTCACCTACTGAACTGAAGTACAGAAGGATCTAGGCTGCATAAGAACCAATTAGGAAAATGTGTATCTATAGGATCATAACTTATATGGTAAGAGAGATCTTTGACCAAAAGTTTGGGGAATACATACCAGAATGAGTTAATAGAGGTTTGCTATACATTTGTGATTTCACAGGGGAATTGGAAGAACATTTCATGTGTGAACCTGTACATATGTGAATCAGACTTTTGAACACTAATTTATGCAGATAAGACAAGTGTAGATTTTATGATACACACCAGTGCAAGAAATTAATATTTAATTGTTCCTCTGAAGCAAAAATGTTAGAACTTTCATGTGCAATGACAAAGTCTTGTGATTGACTGTGAAGGTATCCATGAATTGTAAAATGATATGCTTGTAAATGAAGAGAGAACTGTTCATGAAACACAAATACAGGAACTGAATATCTACTCTGTTGAGTAATTTGTGCTCCTTTTGGATTTTTGTGCTGCAGATTAAGAAATTAACAGTTTTTTTGAAAGCCAGATTTACTAGGAACCAGAAGTTTATATAATCACTCTTGCACTCTTTCATTCAGCAGTTGCTGTTGTAAGTAACTTTCTGAAGCTGGAGGCAATTGAAATCTGAGATATTTCAGAATTGTAAAGTTCCTACAGATTTTGGGAAGAGCATTCATTTGGTACTGGGGTTGCTTCAGCTATTTATGTAGTAATTGCTGAACTGTTGCAAATTTACGCCTGTCTTACTGAGGGGGAAAAAATGCTGGAGAATGATCTTAATCAGCTGGACTATGAACAGATTCAGTGTCTGCTGCTACTTCTGTCTAATCAGCTGAGCTGGCCAGGCTGCAGACAGGGGCTCCCAGGCAAAGCTAGATGGGTATTGCAAGCTTAAAAAACTGCACTTACCACTGAGTAACCTAATGCTGCTAGTAATCCTCAACTTCGCAGCATTCTACCCTTGTCAATATTATGTTAGAAAAAGTAGAACATGAAAGGGAAAGAATGTTTATGTTTCAGCTTACATCGAATACTTGCATATTACATCAGTAGTAGAAATGTACTGTACATCAGTAGAAAGCAATGTAGTTAGAAAAACAGAGAATTTCTATATTTTACCTATAAGTTGCTTCTCAGTTCTATCTAGCTATTTTTTTTTTTTTGTTATATCTGATTAGAAATGCATCCTTACATCAAAATGGACAAGACATAGTCCCTCTCATGGTTCTGTCTGATCTTGGTATTAGGCATGATGCAATCTTAAGGGATGTCTTGCTCATTTGATTGGCACAGCTTTGTTGCTTGCTATGTACCCTTACAAGCTTAGAGCATTCAGTAAGCTGTATAGAGATTTTTCAGAGCTGATGTTGAAAACCAAGTAAATTTTAAGGGCTCTATATGTGTGTACACATATATAAACTTTAACATACTGTTCTCTGTGTGGACACAAATACAGTGCAGTATGAGAAAAAGGTAACGGTTTGATTTTTAGCAGTCCTTCAATTGTGCTGTCTGTGAAGGTAATAGTCTCAGATTAATTTATTATTAAGTATTGAAGTGCCCGGTAAAACATACTCGTTAAGTATTCTTGATTCTCTTGTAGTGTCCACAACAGAATTAAACCCATTTATTTTAGTAAGGATGGGTAGAAACTGGTTTTTTTCCTCATTACCATTTTAGCAGTGACCTGGATTAGTCTTAAGGGTGCTGCAGAAATACTTCTGAGGTGGGAAAGAACCTGTAAGAAATGAAAGATGATATTCAAAGGATGGTTTAAATATTTTGTTTATTGAAAGATCATGTAAAGATTTTGTAGGCTTTTTGAGGGATGAAGTCTTGAGGGTGAAGAGGGTTGGGGTACAAATGAAAAAAAGAAACAAGGTGTGAAAAGAGGCGCCTCTTCAGCTGCGTCAAGTGCCCATCACCATCTGTGGAAAGGGTTATCTTGTATGGTTTTAATATAAACCCTCCTGATTTTTGCAGCCCAATTTTAAGTCATTCATTAATTGATATTTCTCATGTTTTAAGAACTACAGTGAAGATGTAATTCCCTGCCCTAAGTTGTGTTTTTCAGAAAAAATTAATGTCCCCAAAATGAAAACTGATTTCATTTCCTGTGATAATTAAATCTTTGTTTTTAAATAGGGGTGTTAAAATTGAGCTAAACTCCATATTTCTCTTTGCATAGATTTCCCCTGTAGTTTCAGCCAGATATAATAGTTAAATATATATGTGTATTAAAATATTAAAACTTAAATTAATATAAATGTTATTGAAGTAGAATAAATTTATTAATTATATTTTAATTTGAAATGCTGGACAAAATTATTGTTCAGCAGTTCTCATTGTGTCCAGAGATGGCTTTATTTTAGTGGTGGGTTAAACAACTGTGCTTAAGCTGCTCTCATTTCAGATTGCCATGTAAATATTCCGCTTTACTTAGATTTCGAATTGTTGCACTTATCTGAAAAGAGGAAGTATCATCTTTAAAAATCACAAAATAGAGGAAAAAAAATCTCTTACTGTCTCTTTCTTTTTAGAGAGGATCTGACGAACTTCTTTCAGGCAGTGTACTCAGTAGCCCGAACTCTAACATGAGCAGCATGGTAGTTACTGGTAAGTGATGCCCTTTCAAAGGAGAAATCTATAATTTATACTTGGACTCATTTCCTGTTTACAAGGGGAGAACACCAAAACAAGAATCCGTTGTGCTGTAGAGGGATAAACTGTTGGCTTGTATTAGAATATAGTGACTTTGTATTTTCTACAAACTTTGGGTGTCTGAGAAGAATAATCCCACAATCAACAGGCAACTGTCAGATATCTGTACACACAATTGTTGGTGGGTGATGGGATGTAAAATCACAGTTGGCTTGTACAGCTACCTTTGAAGTAAGGAATCTCAGCTGGCAGGCAAAGGTAAACAGCCTAGTGCCTGTGGGACATGAACTTCTTTACACTTGGTCATCTGCAAAGCTGGGCGTTACAGGGAGCACCACTGTGCCAGTTTCATAATACAGTGTGGATTCAGGAAGAGAGTGTTCTGGTTCACTGCTAAAGCAGGAAGCTTCACTTTGCTCTTTCAGTTTGAGATTGCATGGTAGAATATCAGAGCAAAGTGACTGTGGCTATTCTTGAATCAGTTTTCTGGTGATGCTAGATAGAAAGGTTTTTTCATTAATTGGTGCACACTAAAATGCCTTCTATTGCAGTTGGTGCTTCTGTATGTTGAATGTACATTGAGTTCCCTTGGAAAGCTCATTTCAGAGGTCTTGCTTTTTCTCTTCTTTTTCTACTGTGCTAGTATTTTTTTTTGTGGATTCTTTCTCTTTTTTTTTTCCTCTTGCCTTAGAGATGTGGAGGAGTTAATTCATGGCATCAGAGGGTTGCTGCACTTTCCAGTCAGTTCCCTGCTTCACTGTTCTACTGTGCCTAATTTTCTGTATTCATGGGGTCAGCAGTATAATCACTGATATTAATAGCAGACTCTTCCCTTTTAATTTATTAGTAAGAGGTTGGGATTCAGGGTGCAGTTTCATGTTACTATTGGGGTGCTGTGGTGACAGCTCTTGCCAGAATGTGTAGCTCTGTGCTTTCTCATCCTACTTCTTTATCACAAGCACAAAAACCTCCAAATGCACGTTTCTGCTACACTCTTCTGTTGCAGTGCTCATACACTTGCAGAATAAGTTAATGCAGCATTAAATTCTTCTAACAAAATTAAGTAGATTTTCCTTGGAGCAGCTTACTGATGAGTCATGTATTGCACAGTTGTAGACACAGTTGAGTAGAGGAGTGTGGCAGCAGAAGAAAACCACTTCCACTGGCAGTTCTGTAACCAGAGGTGAAGAGGTGGTTGTACTTTGGAATAAGTCGGAAATGCAGTGTAGCCATAACCATTTTGGAACCCCAGAACATTTATCTATTCCCTGTTTTTCTTACTTCCTTCTGGTTCTGAAAGAGGTCCTTCTTGTTTTCATTTTCTTGATGTCCTTTTCTGTCCTGGATATTAATTAGTGCTTCATCAGTTTGCTTTACTTAAACAATAAACTACTATGGAAAAGAGTTGTGTGTAGGAGGGTTTGCGTGTCGGCAGTGGACATTAAGACAGGACCAAGTCCTAAATATTGCCAAATTTTCCATATATTTTTAGGTAAACTTTTAGTTCCAGGAAATTAAATGCAAATTATTTTACCAAAGGAAAAAAGAGGTAAAGTAAAAAAATTGAAATAAGTATTATAACTTTGAGGATTTGGAAGAAGTACGGAAGCTTGTCTAAGCAGCCCCTACATAGAAATTCTTCCTTAAAAATTCTGAGAATGGAAAAGCGTGTTTTGATCCCATTAGGCTGATGTATGGGATAGATGTTTGATGTATTTAACAGATAAGTTACTTCCCATTTTGTTCTTATTTCCACCCTGTTTAAGGTGATTAAGGGTTTGGGTTTTATTCTTGGGAGTTTCTTTGTTGTGTGTGGGAGTTTTTTTGATGTGGGTGGGGTTTCTCTGTTTGGATTTTTTTGGCATCCATAACCATAACTCAAGAAATAATCTCATTAGCAGCAGTGGTCAGAGTAGTGGTCTGGCTCCTGTAGTATGAGATGCCTTTTATTAAAAGTTTCACATGAATTCTGTGATATGTAAAGAAGGTTGGTGGAAAAATAATCCCAAACAAACAAACAAAAACCCACAATCTGAATGCAGTGCTGTAACTCAAGTAATTCTCTATAGCAGTCTGTAAAAAGGGGGCTAGTTTGTTTGGGTGTTCTATTTTTTAAACAATTTCTTGGTATTGTATTCAAACTTCATTCTGCTTGCCTCTTTGAAGTAGCACAAAAAACCCTATAGAGTAGGATAAGTCCTCTGTTCTGAATATATCCTCCCATAGCTGTCTTGTTTACTGTGAACCAGGAAGTACTTTTTCCAGACTTGCACAGTTTACAAGTTCACATTGTAAACTCAGAAATAGTTAGATGTGAAATTGAAACCTGTGTGTTAATTTTTCTGTAACCATCTCCTGAAGCCAAATGAATTCAAGTGTTCTTTCTATCTGATGTCCTCCTTTTGCTTCAGTTCTGCTATTACTTTTTCTCTTCAGAAGAATTTAAAACTTTAGTCAATTGAACAAATTTTCTTGCTGTAGTCAACGTGATGAATCTTTCCCAAATTTTCTAGGACTTCAAGGGCCCTGTGATCATTTATTAAGTCCCTTGTAAATGAGACACGTAGATATTTGCATATGTAAAACTAATACTTGTTCTTGCCCTTTCATTCTTAGGGTTGGGAAGTGTCATGGTATTATTATGAGACTTGACCATTGTTTTCTGGAGAATATAGAAACCTGTTCTGGTTTTGACTGTGATATTTCCAATATCTGATTCTGTGATTTTTTTTTAAGTAGATGGCTAGGAGAACAGAAGCAAGATACGGTTTGTCTTTGTAATCCTCTGAGCCTTTTATTGGTGAAAGTGTACACAGCCAAAAAACTAGTTATCAGTAGCAGTGCCTTAGCAGGCCTAAACTTTGAACAAAATCTTGTCAATTACAGCCTCATTCTTTCTCTGCTGTAGAAATATTAACCTAAACCAAAGTGCCTAAGTTGTCAAAAAAAACTACCTTTTCTTGGAAGGGAGGGGTTTTGGAGGGCTGTGTCATTATGGGTGAGACTGAAGATGATTTTTTAAAAATGAACATCCTACCTTTTTATCATGGGAACAGTTCCTTCAGTGGGTTGTTGTTTGTTTTGTGGGTTTGTTTTGTTTTGTTTTGTTTTGTTTGGGGTGGTTTTTTTGATTGTTTTTTATTGTTGTTGTTTTTATTCAGCTGCCATTCAGTGAGAATACGGTAGTACTTTAATGCTTTTATGAATACTCTTGCTCTAATCTTCTCTCCTAGTGAAAGGCACGAAAGAGGAATGGTTTCTCTGCCCTATAGGGAGTCTTGCAGATTAATTTTTTTCTATTTTTTTGTGAAAGAAACTTGTGAAATTGGTGAACAGATGTTTGATTTGCATTCTTACTGATAATTTGAACCACTGGTAATTCTCTAAAAAAGGCTAGCATCTTGGACATGGTTCAAAATAAAAGGCCTGATCCTTGGGCATTTTCTAAACAGTTTTGTCATCTGTATCCATCCTCTGGACTGGGTAGGTGACAGTGTGTTACATTAGCAGTCACTATAGGTGAAGTTACTGTTTTAGGTACTTTCTATGTCTCTGTGGAAGAACACTCTTAAGACTGAAAGAGCAGAAATCTAGACTTGGATTAAGATGACTTTTACCTCTTAATTCTGAACCCTGTTTTGGACAAATTTGGTTACTGTCATTGTTGAGAAATTTCATTTCAGTTAAGTGTTTATATTTAAATGTACATGATTTATTTTTGTTCCTGAGCGGGGTTGGACAGTATGGCAGAATATTATCCTTTAAACATTAAGGGAAGGATCCCATCCACTAGATTAGAATTTGTAGCAAGGGAGAACATCTTGTAAAGTACAAGATCAGCAAATATCTAGGCTAAAGGAGTTCTTTTTTTATGTTGCATGTGTAAGTTTCTGATGTTTTTAACACCAGCTGACATGAGCATATTAAAGTTGTGTTCTCAGAACTACAGACCTTTTACTACGTAAACTACTGCTAGTTTTCCTTTACATTTTTTTGAAAATATTGGCCAAGTCTATTCTTATTTTTTGCCATAATCTTGCTTGATTCTGATTTCTATGGAGAGCATGATCTTCTCATAAAGATCCATGAGTTAATTTCTTTTGTGTTGGTGCACAATGAACAGAAAGGCTCTTTAGGTAAGCTAAAATATGATTTGGTAACAGGATTCGGAGAAACCAGAGCTGAAACCAGGATCTTTAAATAAATATCGCTGATTCTGACATTGCTAATGTTTTCAAAGACATTAGTAAGGCAGATTGCAAATGATTATATGTAAAGAATTTTTTTTACCTTTCAGTGCTGTATGTTCAGTAAATAACTAGCTGCAGTGGTTTATTCTGCAGATTTTAAATGCAAGAAAAAAATTCCTGTATCTTTAAAAGCTGGGGAAAAGTGTTTCCTCTGCAAAGGGCTTACTTTTCCCCTGAACTTTGTGTGAGGCTTTGGCTGTTCAAGATGGAGGATTGCTTAATGGAAGTTGTAGGGAGTTATCTGTATGGAGATGCTCATGCCATGAACTCATTGCTGAAATCCACATACTAAAAAGGTAAAATTTTTAAGGGATGTAGATAAAAAGTGAAAGATGTTGATGAAAGTTTTATGAAAGTTGGCGTGTCAAAGACAAGAATTGGCAGGTTTTCTTGTTGCAGCTGCCATCAATTTCATTGTTCACATTTCTGTGTTTAAAGTAGATTAGTAGAAACATTCCAAAATCATTTTGCAGTTGAGCTCACCAAATTCCTGGAGCTTTGAATGATACTGTTGGTCTTGTTTTTACTTAATTAGCAGGGAATGTTAGGAGTGACTTCAGTAATTAATTCATTGTATTAACAGAATAATTAGCACTGAGGCATACAAACTAATAATATTTCAAGTGCTGTATTTAACTTGGGCAGTAAACATAGATGTGTCATGGATGTGCCATTTTTGCTAGCACATTAAGTAAAATTAGTTAT